ATTACCCTCAGTTTTATTTTAGGTTAAGCAATGTGTGAAAGAATTATTTCTCTTTTCACTGATTCATGAAGTGGGAAGAAACTCATTTTTATTAGTAAATAGTAAAAATGCTCTTTTTTAATCATTCCCCTCATCCACTCATACTAAGGAATATCCATAATGCTTTTTCTTTCATCTCCAGACTCCTATTACCATAATAGGATAATTATTGCAATTGATTTAAAACTACTAATCCAATGGTAAGAGCTGCTTCCGAACCATCGAGAATTCACTAATTTCAATCTCTTTTTTTTTAGTGCTAAGATGGAAATGTTTAGGGCCAAATAAACTAAACCACAAACAATACACAGTATTTCAATCAACAGAACCTGACCAACCATAAATCTTAATAACCAAATGTTTTTTCTTTAATATTCCACTGAAATGAAATAAATAACAACAAAAGCAAAATACATTCATACTAGAAATTAAGAGCATTCAAAAATGCATTCAGCTTAAACTACCCTATTTGTGTAGTGGCTATACTATACCTATATGAAATTATCAACCATTAAAGATTCAATCATGCCGCTTACAAAGTACTTTCATACACCTACAACCTGAGTTTCACAATAGCCCTTTGAGATAGGTATGGCAAGAGTTCCCATTAACATTTTACCAATGAGATCATCATATTATACTTACTAAGACAAGACACACACACACACACACACACACACACACACACACACGAAATTGAATTCTGAATAAGAACTTTCAGGTTATTTCTAAGTTGGAATTCAGGAAAGCAGCAAGCTTAATTCATGAAACATTTTACTCTATAATAAAACTGAATCCACATGAAGCAAACTCCCTATCTCGTATTCTTCAGTGAGACATGGCCCCTCCTTGTCAGCCTGAGTATCCTGAGCATCTTGGGGCTGCTGGAAGCAAGTGGCTTTTTCTCTCTTCTTGGCAGAAGTTTCAAAGCAGAGTCCCAAGTCCTTCCTTCTTCCGGTTTCCTAGTCCTTGATTGCCATGAGAATGTTTTTAGACATTCTAAAGCAGTGCTGTCCAATAGAACTTTCCGTGATGATGGAAATGTTTTATATCTGTACTGTCCAATAAGGTAGCCATTAGCCACATATGGTTGTTGAGCACTTGAAATGTGGTTAGTGTGACTGAGGTACTGGATTTTTAATTAAAATTTAAATTTAACCAGCCACATGTGGCAGGTTGTTACCATATTAAACAGAATAGTTCTAGACAGTTTAAGATTTTGGTTCTCAGGGTCCAAGAGCACTCCAGCAACAGCATCCTTGTAGGATTACCCAATGAGAGTAGGATAGAAGTTACGTAGTTAATTATGTGTTGTGCCTTACTTGGTTCTAGAAGGGGTTGAAGCAGAATGTTGGTATTGAAAAGGTATATAGGATCTTTAAGAAAAGGATAACAAATGGGGGATATGTTGTGGTTAAAAAAATAAGAGACAAAAGAGAATACTAGTGCTATTTTAATTAAATGTGAATTTCTAAACCCTCCATATTGGAGCACAATCCACTTACAGAGAAAAATTTTCCCCTTGCCAATGCAATTACTGTTATTGTTAGTGGCTCTAGAGTTGGCCCCCAACTCATGGTGACCCCACGCACAACTGAACAAATGCCGCCTGGTTCTGCACCATCCCTGTGATCGATTGCCATCCCCATGAAAAGTTGTGGACTGAACCACTGTGATCCATAGGGCTGTCTTAGTCTGGAAGCTCTGCTGAAACCTGTTTAGCATCATAGCAACACACAAGCCTCCACTGACAGACAGGTGGTGGCTGTGCATAAGGTGTATTACCCAGGAATCCCAAATGGAAGACAAGAATTCTATCACTGAACCACCACTGCCCCCATATGCAATTACTAGGGATAGGCTTACAAAAATTCAGTTAATGAATGTGAGATTTTACTATGGATTGGAAAGAGAAGTGAGAAGAAATGAACTTTGGGTTCTGCTGTATGTTAGTTAACTAGAACTCCAGGACTGTCTCTAATAAAAATACCTACTTGACAGAATTGTGAAGATTTAATAACATAATTCGTTCCTAGCATGTGGTCACCCTTAGATAGATATTAGCACTTATAATGATCAGTTATTTCTGCCTAGATCTTTTTTAAGACCTCTCCCAAGTCTCAGTAAGAAGATGAAGAGGCTGCTTACAGTCGCTAATTTTGGAAAAATTATTCTGTTGGGAACAGACCATTGAAGAGGGAATATAGACGCTGTAAGTGCAAGCTGAAAAGTGCTACATTGCCACTCCCACTTGTAAATTGCTACATAGGGAAGGAGAATTTTTACTGTGGAAGGTGGGTCATGTTTCTCAAATGTGCTGGGTCAGGTGACATTGCAGTGGTAGGAATAAAGGGGAAAGAGCAGGAAGAAAAAGTAGTTAAGAGGACTGCTTGTATTTTAGGTGCTTATTATGTAATACTGAACATATTTCACTGAAGCTGATGTTCTTGTCAAAGGAAATCAAAGAAGGCAGCATGGGAGAGCATTTGAGGCACCACAGAGGTAGTGGAAAGGGCATTGGCCCTGGAGTCAAGTCAACTGGATTCTAATCCTAGCTCTTCAATCACATGACTTAGACTGATGACCATCTTTTGGTCCCAAAATTCTGTTTCTTGTAAAATAAGGGTGCTGAACAATCTTTAAGGTGATCCCAGTCCTAACACTTGATAGTATGACTCTAAATATGAAAGCACATGCAGGGTCTAGCCTTCCAGACCCCTGAAGTCCTGCTGCTCTTTCAGGAAAGCCTGCTGGTTTAGTCCTCTAGCCAGTTTCCGTAATCCTGAAGCTCAAGTTGCATGAATAGTGGCGTCTCAAGCAACATGCATAGAAACAGTTGGAATGGTGGGAGTAAGTGCCAGTGGGTGGGAGAACAGTTTAAAGAGAAAAGGGTTGGAAAAGAGAGTAACGCTTATGAAAGAAAATCAGGCCTCCCCCTTTAACATTCTCCTGCTATATTCCCCAATAACATCTATCCAAAGCTTCATGCTAAAGTGAGAGCATGAAAATAGCCAGGACTTTGGAGTTAAGCACACCTGAATTTGAATCTAAGCTCTGGATTCAAGATATCCAACGTCAGTTTCCATATTTGTGAGATACTTCAGCTATTGTGAAGTTTAAATGAGATAATATTGCCTAGAAGATAGTAGCTGTTCAGTAAATATTCTCTTAATTTGGCCTCCCCAAATTGGCTTAATCCTTTTCCCATTTTACCCATAATATAAAGGAAAAGTTAAAGAAATAAACACACAGAACTTCTTAGAGATCCATATTTAGAGGAATGTATATAACATGTAGGATGGGGAGAGCAGGGTGCTGAGGAGAGAAAAAGCCATAACTAGTAGTAGAAAGCCCAGTCTCTCCATTAAGGAGCCTCTCCCTTTGTGTAGCCTCACAATTTTCTGGTTCCTGAAAGCTACAGAAGTGTTTATCAGAATAGCACCCCTAACGGCTTTTTAACACTACCAACAGGAAGACTCACTGCGCAGGCAGAAAAAATAGGAGGCACCACACGTTACCTCGTCCCCACCCTAAGTTAGCAAAGCCAAATCCAGGAGTGACACTCGTTCCTTGTTTCTCCTAAGCGGAGTGTTCTCCCCAAGGGGGAAGGCAGAGACCAAGGAAAGGCAGATCATTATTACCGGTCTCTGTAGGTCGCTTGCCCCACCAGACTCCTCTTACGTTGCTCTAACGCGTTTTTTGATCGAGGGGAATGCTGGACAGCGAGGAGCCTACAGTTCCCCGCCAGTAAGAGCTCCCAGCCTCGGAGAACTTTCAGCACTGCGGACAGCGCCCCTCTCCATAGTCGAATCTTCTGCCCAGGCTCCAGCCTGGTCCTATCTTGCCCCTGGCGCTCTCTCCGACCCCTTATGGGGGCTGGGAAGTGGATTTTCACCCTGTGCCCAAGAATCCCTTTCCCAGAGTCGGTTCCTCTGAGCCTCGCAGCTCAAGACCTCAAAGAACCGAGCTTCTCACAAGTAGGGGGGTCAGGGTACTCGAAAAGGGCGAGAGCCCTTGCTGTTCCAGCCTGCGTCTTTCCTCCGCCTTTCTTGCTCACCTCTGGTCATTGACTTGTATTTTACTCTTCAGTCGCAATAAAAAAAATACACATTTGGGTGGGGAGAGGTGGGGTGACTCAGGAGGGAGATAGAGGTTGAGGGCTACGTCCCGAATGAACATGCTGCCTAACGAGGCCCTCTAAATTCGTGGGAAACAGATGTGCTTGGAGTGGGAGGAGAGAGGAGGCTTTGATGGGGTGAAATAGTGGGGGTCAGAATCCTCTTTCTGGAGCTGTCCCCTTTGGGCAAGGAGCACGTCCTCCTCGCTGTCCCTGGTGTGTCACCTTTCTGGGGACAGATACCCCTCAGGGAGCGCCGGCCTGGTCAGGGCGCCCGGCTCAGCTGGAGTCTCTTTGAAGAGTTTGCTCTCAGGTAAAAGGGCAGACGTTACTCCCGCTCTCCCCTCGGGCTGCGGCCGAAAAAGCGTCTCTGCTTTTCCGTGAGCTCAGTCCGAGGCAGAGAATTGAGCTATCGGAGCAGGGTGCGCGCCGGGGCGGGGAGGGAAAGATGGGCCCGGCGTCTGCGGAGACCCAGGCGGCCCGGACGCTGCTCCCGGCTCCCTCTTCCGCCCCTCGCTCCGGCCGCGCAGGAGCTGCGTGTGCCCCAGCCCGGCCTGGCAGCTCCGGCGAGTCGGAGTTCTGCATCCCTCCTATCCCGGGCACTGCCCAGGACCCATTCCGGGCCAGATCCGGAGAGACCCCCACCCAGCTCTTTTCTTCTTCCAGGGGACCCCTTCCTGGAGGGCGACCTCAGCCTCCGCGCCATGTTCCTGCTTCTCCCCTCCCCGTGGCTTCAGCTCCCTGGTTCATTTAGGGAGAAGCAATCTTCCCCGTCTGGGGGGTCCGGCTGGGCGCCGGGGGCGCAGAGAGGGACAGACTACGGCGAAGGGGGCCGTTCACTCACCGGAGGGGTTGGAGGCGATGGGCAGGCTGCGGGTCAGAGGCTGGCGGTCCACACTTGCAGCGCCAGGCTCAGTCTCTCCGGCTACGATGGGGGTGGTGATGGCCAAGGAAGGCAGGAGGCAGCCGCTGCTGCTGAACAGCTCCTCAATTATTCAGATGGCCAACCC